CGCGTCCCGAGGCCCTAAGCGGCTCGTTGGATGTGACACTAATCAGCGACGTACGGGAGCGTGATCGGGATATTTCCGATGACGAGTATTCCCCTACGAATGTGTGCATGTTTCCAGAATCATGGGAGGGCGCCATGCCGACCTCCGTGATTGACAAGGCCGGAGGCTTTGAGCAGTTTAGGAACGAGCTCATGAGGATCCAGAGAGTCCTGGATTCTCCGGCGTTGGTCGACCTTGGTAAGGTCGATCTGGACGCTCTGGGCGAGCCGCCCAAGGAGTACGTCTCGGATGAAGATCACGAGAGTTATGTAGACGATGATGGAATGGGTCCATATGTGGACAAATTCTCATCAATGGGTGACCGCGACCTAGTGCCCTCAAAGCAGGAGCCGCCTTACTATGAGGCAAAGGCGTGGCGCACCACTGAAGAAGAAATTGAAAGGATGAAGAACCTTTTTCCATTCTTTCGTGCCGAAAATTATCGGCTTATGTCTGCGAGTACTGGTCCCATAGGTACCAAGTCGCACGTACAGGGCGTCCTCCCAACAGGTGCGTCGTTGGAAGAGGCACTGATGGCTAAGCCCGGTGTGTGCCCGATTACGAGCACCTACAACCTCACATACGAGGGTGAAGAGGTTGTGATTGATGCACAGGGCGGGATAGCAGGCAGAATCGCCTGTCCTGCCGGAAATGACATCTTCCATTTTTTCCCCGAAATTAGGGATGTGTCGGCGTTTGTTGGACGAAGCTCCAGGGAATCGCAAATGCTGCTAGAAGTTTTGTCGGGCAACACTGACCCTACGCGGTTAAACGTGAAGCCCGGTGAGCAGCCTCCCTTCTTGTTTGGGACGGTTCCAGACATTCTGGGAGGTTGGATGTCAATGACTCTGATCTCAACGCTACTTGAGGCCCTATACGGGATCCACAAGTGCACGAGTGTCGAGGTAGCGACCTGGGCGGGTGCTCTCGCAAAGGAAAGCCCATCGTACCCTCCAGTCGAGCTCCTAATACGGACAGTCTGGAGGACAGATGGCACGAGTGTGCGCCCGAATGAGGTGCTTTTTGCGCGGTCCACCCTAATCGGGAGGGACGTGCCGTTCAAAGTTTTCAAGCGTTGGGCACTGCGTGACCGAACGCCTATGGGGCCTTTGCTTAGGCCGATGGGAGCAGCAGAAGTCCCTTATACGGGATACGTGCTGCTGACGATGGCCGAGTATCGGTCCGCCCTCAAAACGAGGTGCATCCGGAGGCCTGGCAAATTCGCCATCACAGTTTTCCCCATGCGACCTGAGCAGGTCTGCAGGGGGGAGATCATGATTGGGATGGAGGGCGCAAAGGTGCCTTTCCTCAAGTTGCCCAGCCCCAATAATGAGGGCGAATTTTATGTTGACGACCGCGTCAAGTACATGGACAAGCGCCATGTCGTTGTGGCCGTTGACCTAAAGTGGATGGCCATCGAGGAAGCCGCCGGCATCTACAAAACCCGACGCGGTTTGATCGCCGTGCGGGAAGAGATACATGCGCCATTCTGGCGCGCATGCTATCTGCATCAGGAAGGGGATGTAATATACATCCGCCCCTGGGCGGTCCGTGAGTTGAATGTTCAGGGACCGCGGAGAGGGGTGTCATTTTCATGGGACAATGCTCCCATGCATGACTACTGGTGCCCTCGGTGCGCGCATTTGAACATGTATGGCACCATTCTATGCAATGGTTGCCATCTGCCGATTTTCTATCGTGAATGGGTGCCAGGCACCGTCCGCGCTCTGGTTAAGCATGGACAGCCAATCTGGCTGAGCGAACTCAAAGCAGTCCGCCCCAGCAGCTGGCATGAAGGGGAGACCGACGCGTGGGCCCCTCTCATGGCATCGGTAAACCCGATTCGCGAGGTGGTCAGCTGCATGATCACCGGTTTGCGCTGCGCGCCGCATCTTGTGCACATTCCCAATGCGGATATTGTGCAAGTTGCGTTTCAGGAGGTTGCAAAGGTCACCTCAAAGGACACTCACGCTTGTGTGCGGGCGAGTGATGAGGCTCTCGAGCGGTGGGTAGCGAAGCAGCTGCTCATCGAGGAGAGCAACACTGGCGTCTCGATTCCCGACAATATGTCTGTCATGGCATATTTAATCGAGCACCCGCAACAGGCGGCGCAATGGGGTCGTCATATGACGAGAAAGGGCAGTCTAAATTCAGCATTTGCCCTTTACCTCTCTGTGCATATCTTTGATGCCTACCGCATCGGGATTGAGGACGGGTATTTGGTTCCGCTGTATGGCCTAGGCGCCTCACGCGCGGACATCATAATGTCGTTGGTACAGGCTGAGCGACGCCTCACGGACTTCAATACTGAAGATCCGAGTTTCGACGCTTCCACTGTTCTTGATTGGAATATCGACTCTTTGCGGGCCAGTGGTGGATCCATCACGGCCCCAATTGAGTATGCTGAGGCATACATTTATGTCGAAGACAATAAGGTTGACATGGTCCCCGCTTCGCGGCGCGACGGCCAATGCGCCATTGTCTTTGCTGACCCGCCGGTTGGGAAGCACCACAGGCGGGCAGCCACTCCTAGGGGAGACCAACGGTCTGCTACCCCGCGACCTGAATCCAGGTCAAAGGGTGATCAGCAAAAGGGCAAAGCCCCTGCACAGTCCTGGCCCAAGGGCGGAGGTCACAAGGGTGACCAGTTCCCAGGAAAGGGTCACAAAGCTGATCAGTACAAAGGCAAGGGTGGCCAATACGGCTACCAACAAGGGCAGTTCGGTCGTGGCGGATCCGCCAGATCGAGAACTCCCACTGGCGGGTATCAGCCTGATGCTCGCGGGTCGGGATACAAGGGTGCTCAGGCAGCCCCTTTCCCGTTCCCAAGTCCGATGTACCCCGCTTTCCCAATGGGAGGGTACATGCAACAGCCAATGGCTGGCATGATGCCGCAAATGTGGCCTGGCGCAATGCCGCAGGGTTGGCAGCCGCACATGCAGGGTGATCCACGCGAGTTCGAGAATCCGAACTCGCCGCATACCCCTACCTGGGGTGCGGATGATGAATTGGCCGAGACCGTGCCTCCCCCTCCTGGGGACTGGAACGTCAACAAGGGGAGGGGACGGCACGGCGGCGGACGACATCGGTAATACCTGGTGTCCGTCTGCATCTTTTGCGTAGCGGCGCCAACGCGCGCGTGCTTTCATTCCGGAATTCACATAATGGACAATGCTCCCTGTAGTATTTCTATGTTTGGGCTATTCGCCATTCCAGAATTCAACTGCATGCGCAGGTGTGCGCTATTCGCGCTGGCAGCAATTACCTGTCAGGTGTGCGTCGCCGCAGCAAGGCAGTTACCCTCGCCGGTGTCTACGGCCGCTGGTTGTCAGCATCGTCCAGCACCGCTGCTGCTGCTGGAGATGGAACTCATCAAGGTGCTGCGGTGAGGATCACGGATGCGCTGCACCGCTGCCGGTGAAGTCCTACTCGGACCTGAACCGCTGATTGCAGCTGGTGGTGTTCCTACTGAAGGTCTTTGTGTGATCGCGCGCCTAGACGGTGCTACTTTAAAGACCAAGGTCTTGTGGTCAAAGCACCATGTTTCAACCAGCAGGCCAATGCGCCTAAATCATGAATTCAGGAACTAAATCCACTTGAACCTTGCGGTTCGTTGTGGTTGCATTGCAAATGTAATTTTATTTCATGCCTGCCATTCTGGAGTTGAATCTTTGTTTCTGTTTCTTTTTGCTTTCTCTTGTTTGATTTGGCTACCGGCGCGAATCCGCCCCATACCCGTAATTCGGGGTGGTGGCGGGATCCGGGCACCAATGAGTGCCCGGGTATGGGGTCGCGAACCCTGGTAGCCTAATCGGCTTTGTTTTTCTTGTTTGTTGCATTTCAACTTCAACATGGCCAATGCGCCTTTCCAAATTCACTCCATCTCTTTGTACAGTCGAGGGGGGTGTTTTTGGGGGCATGTAGTTTTATCATAGCATGTTTCCATGCCACGGCCAATGCGCCGTTTGGCTCAAGCTTTTCACCTGGCATTCATTGCTCGCCATTTCGTCGGGAAAAGATCACGGCGCACCTTTACACCGGCCTCGTGTTTACGCGGCCGTTGTGCCTGGGGCGGTGTTCTTTGTCCTGGAGGTGGGTCGGGCTATTGTTTGAGGTGCGCTGCTATTGCTTGCTTTGCTCGCTTGGTGCTGCTTGCTGCTGGTTTGCCTGCCTGCTCTGCGCTGTGCTGCGCTTCTGCTTGGTTTCTTCTTGTTACAACGAGGCACCCCTTTTGGTTCGTGTTAGTGCCGGCCGAGGGCAACCGCTTTGCCCTTGGGACCGGGGGGATAAGGTGGTCTCTTCTTGTTGGTGGGTTAGGGCCTGTTTTATCCATCCCGAAACTCTGTTTCAAACCCTTTCGCATTTTTGACTCCGGATTAATATACCCTGGTTAATCAATATGTCCCTTTCAGTGGGAATTCATCACTTGTGCAGGGAAAACAACCCCCCCCTATCAATGTATCAATGGGAAGGTGTTACCAATCCGGGTTTGACCTGATTTTGCTCAGTTGCCCCCAATATAATTCGTCAACCGACGGAATTTGGTGACTGCAGTGCCGAGTCCCCCTCCCATCTTCCCTCCTCAGATCCGGTCAGTTCGCTTTGGACTGATAACTTCAACCATCTCTCGCGCTATCCCCAGTTGGTTCTAAAGGGAAGCAAATATCTTCATGTTCTTCAGGGGAGAAAGCTCATGTTGTTTGGTTTCCAAAAGTTTGGTGGAAGTATGTGTTTCCAACAATTTGTTTTCCTTAGCTAGTCGATTTCTTGGTGCTTTTCTTGGGCAAAATTAACAGATGAAATCATACAAGGATTTATTCAAAAAGATCAACAAAACTAAAAGTATCCCAATTTATGTAATTAGTTGCATAGAAAAAATGTTTGGCTTTTCTTAGTGGTTTTCTTAGTCGTTTTCTTAGGCGCCCTTTTTGGCTTAGACGGGCTCTAGCGTCTTCTCTCAGGTGGCGGTCTTCATCACCGGCTCTCCTGTGGAGCTGCTCAGCGAAGGACGGAAGTGGACAATTTCTTCATAGCCAAGGGGCCGAGTGTTTGGGCATGCTGAAACCGTCCATTGATAGAAATGAATATGTTTTGTGTTTTTTAAGTTTTCCCCTGTTGGTTTTATAGGGGATCTATCGCTAGACATATGTTTCCCAAACCTTCCATTCTCTGAAATGGGTATGGGTCAAAATTAACCCACCACCAATTGGACCGCAGGGTTTAGTCTTTGTTTCCATTTACCAGGACAAGCCATTTTGGGTACCTATTTTTGACCCACGCTCAAATGATGTTTTTGCTTCTTCTTCTTATTTGTTTACTTTTCCCCTCTTGGTTTTAAAGGGAATCTATCACTAGTGGATTCTTGTTCCAGGCAAAAACACAAATGGAAGATTGGAGTTCAAAGCCCTGGGTGTGATGCACTGGGTATCCCCACAGGGCTTAGAAAGGTTTGAGTTTGACTGGGGAAGGGGCGAACTTCGACCCCTGGAGATGTCCATTTGTTCCATTTTTCCTTTGGGGAAGGCTACCACTAGATGGAATTGGGTCCCGGAGCCCCGGGTCCCTCACCCCCACCTTTTAAGGTAGGGAGAACTCGGGCGTCCTTTCAGTTCCTTCTGCGCCGTATTCTCACCCAGCCAGTGGACACAATTTACACATTTTTTTTGGCGTCCCCTTCAGCTTAGTCGTGACCCAAAAAGTGCACACTTCTTTTGGGCTGGCCACTGGCCAAGTGAGTTCTGGTCTTGAAGTGTAGCCTTTGCATGCAGCCGTGTGGGCAGTGAGTGGCGCAGGCTGCACCACGACAGGAATCTGGAGAAGGCTGCGTGCCAAAATGTCACTTATTCGATCTCATTTACCAAATTCCATCAATTTGACGTCGAATATTGGCAGGCATGTTCTTCGATACCAGGTGATCACTCTGTGCCATGTCCTCACCCAAGACCATCAACTTGATGTTCTTCGATACTTCGATACTAGGTGATCACTCTTCCGGCCGTGCCGGCCTTTTTTTGGTCGACTCGCGGTCTTGGGAGAAACAAACATCGGAGGAGAAGTGCGGCGTGCCCTGACGCACTTTGCCGCCAGGCCCGGGGGGGGGGAAGGCAGTTGCGGCGAGGTTGCAGCGAGTTTGGACTTGAGCCAATGCCAACACCCGAACCGGGGCTCCGGGGCTCGCTCCAGCCACAGGTTCCCGCGCCATGTGGAGACCAAAGCTTTGCTGCTCCACATCACCGAGGAGGCTCGCGAAGCGAGCGGACTTTTGAAAAGCCGGAGAGGAGCTGTTGAATCGGATTCCTCGCGTGACTACCGTTGTTGTTGTTGGGAAACATTTTACATTTTTGCTTATTGTGGTTTAGCGGGAAATCCCCACTTAACTGCTAAACATAGATTTTTGTTGCTCTCCTTCCAACGTCAACCAAGCTACGCTCAGCAGTCGCTCAGCCGTTTGCTGAGCTGTTGGTGTCACGTGGACCTCAAAATGTTTGCCCCCCCAAAAAAAAACCTATGCTTGCGGGTCCCGTTCAAAGGACAATTGTCTTCCAGGATCCCCGAACGGTTCCAAGTTTGTGGAGGTAGGTTTGGGCTCGAAAGGTAAAAACAAGTCCACGTCCATCAACTGGCTTCTTGGAGTCTCGCCAGCCGACCAATTTTTGCCAGGGGTGTGGTCCCGACGGCAGTTGTCCCCTTCGAAGAGCACTCAGTAAAGCGAGTATACCCAAGTGACCTGATTGACTTGCTGGATTCCGGTCACTTTGGGTTGGGGGGTTTTCCTTTCACCCACAAAAAGCTAAACTTTTTGCAGGGGATCTGAGGACAGCCCAGGTTTGGTTCACCTGCACCAAAGCTTGGAGAAAGTGTTGGTGTTGAAGTATTGTTCGGGTGTGACTGCAACGCCGCTTCATGGCAAGTCATGTACCCCCCTGAGGTGGCAGGAGTCAACACCGAGTACGCGTCTTGGCGCAAAGCTTGGGGTGGCCGGGGGGGGGGGCTGCCTCCCTAAGATGGCGTGTCCAAAAAAGAAAGCCAGAAGGGCCCTGCATTTATGCACTTCAACATCTACCGTTTTGTTTCTTCTTTGCAATTCAACGTGTATCGTAGGGCGTTTGGCTGCATCCTTGTTTGCCGCGTCGAAGGCCCCTGCCTTTGAGGGTTCACTTGTTTCAGGCAATGCCCGCCGTGATAATCGTGACATGGTCAAACAGCCTCGCCCCAATTGAGGGAGGGATGGCCGCCATGATATGCGACATCCCAAATTCCCAAATTGGGGGAGGCCGGGTGGGCCCCTGACCTTCCATTTCGAAATGCTGCATTTCCCGTCTTTTTATGGGGAAAGACGGCTAGACCCCCTGGCAGGGAGGGGATGTCCCCACCCCCTTACTGGAATTGGGGGAGGGGGGTGGCCCCTGGAGATCTCCATTTTTATGGTTCCATTTCCTTTGTAAGGGGAAGACTAGATAACTGAAATTCGGGACCGGGTCCCCACTCCCCCCCCCTTATCATTTTTCGGGGCTGAAGCCCTGGGATGATTTCGACGTTTCGAGGGGCCAAACCGACTCGGAGTCGGTGGCGCTGTGGCACCAAACGGCCTGTGAAGTTGCAAGAACCCGAAGCCTCAAACATGACTCTCAACATGGAACCCGAAGGTCCAAGTCCCCGAAAGTTTCCTCTAGGATGGTTGTTGGGGCTGCATGCCAATCTGCAGGTTCTAGGGGTTTGGGCTTCAGTGGCAGGGCCCTCATATTGAGGGAACCACTTCGCACCCGAGGATTGTGTCCTGTCCGGGCTTGGGACCTTTGTCCATCAGGTAGACTTCCATTTGCTTAAGAATAGGTTTTTTTGTTTCTCCCGCTTCTTGGTTTTTAAAAGGAATTTATCACTACTGCAAATATTTGTATTCTTTCCGGGGGTCTTAACCAAATGGAAGTAGAAAGCCATGTCCATCCACCAGGCCTAGGGATTATCAGTTCCAGGTCTGAAGAAAACTCTCTCACTTCCCGAAATCCTGGACTTCTGTCACTTTTTGGGTTTGGACCATGAAACAGTTTGGGCTCTTTTTGTCGCCAGTCTCCAGCGGAAGTGAGAAAACATATGTCCAAATGCTGAGTTCTGGTGCTTCGTCGCCTTCTGGTTCCACATCATCCAGGTCAAGCGGTTTTGAGGTCCACTGATCTAGGGAAGAAGCTTGTGTCGTTGCTGAGTTGGACCATGTTAGCCGTTAAACAACAATTCACACAGAAGCATAAACACACATAATTATAACAACACAAACAACAATAGCAAGTGTTTTGTAGTGTTTGGTAGGGTGATCTCTTGCAACCTTCGTGAGAAATACAAAACACATAGGGCGTTTCGTGAAATGCATCACCATGTTTTCCAGATGGTGAGGGATTTTTCAGTTGCACCCACAGGTATAGAAAGAAGATCTGTCCAACTTATCTAGGATTCGTTTTTCTGTATTTAGTTTTTGGTGCGATCTCTCGCTTCCGAGCGGTGAGAAGTACGATCCCAAAAAGCGTTTTCCACGTGCTGAGGTTGTTCTACTAAAAACTAGATGGGTTTCCCAGGTTTACCTGGTTGTTTCTCGTCCTCTACCAGGGCCATTTGCCAGAGACGCCTCCGGCTGAGGACTTCCAAATCCTCCGGAAGATCCTGTCCATCTTCGGCCAGCGCCTGGGCGCCCTCGAGGACCGCGAGTGCCAGGCGGGGAGAAACCGGAGGTTCCGAGAGGCGAAGGCCACGGGGCCTTAAAAGGGGCTCCCCCGGGCTCCCCGTGTTTGTTTGTTTTTTTTGGTGGGGAGGGGGGAGGACCAAGACGGAGAACCCGGAATTTGGGAATTTGGTTCACCTGGTGGATTTGAGCCCCTGGTCCTTGTAGACATGGTTGTTGTTGGGAAACATTGGACACATTTTTGCTGATTGTGGTTTAGTGGTTGGAATCCAACTCCACAAAAATCTGCTAAAATTTGATTTGTTTGATGTTTGTTGCTCCCCAAACCCAACGTCAACCAAGCTGGTCCTTGAGGGAAACCCACTGCCTCCAACCCAAAAAATCCAAACCAAGCCGCCGCCGATTGGAGGAGAGCCTCCGGCGCAAGCTGACTCGCTCCCCCCACCTCTCCCCATCTCCCCCAGAAAACATGTAGATGACCCACCCCAGAGTTCTCAACAAAGAAAAACAAAATCGGCCCACCACAAAAAAAAAGCGCAAAGGGGCTGTAGAGCTCCATTTAGGAACCCATTTAGACCCAGACAAGCCCAGCACTCACAGTGAAGGAAGTCCAACACGTGAAAGGGTGCCTGGATGGCAGGCGTCACCTTCGGGCTGTGAATCTGGCTATCAGTCCGGCGCACTTTTGTCTGTGCGCTTCGAGTACAAAGCGGCTTCCGGGACCGCTTACTAATCTCAAACCTCAAGCAAGGGGCCTCAAAGTGGCTACCCTCCACATGTTTTGGAAAACCTGCACTCCTCCCCTTTGTGTCCGGGAGGGCACAAATGACAAAAGTCGGCAGTCAGTGCTGCCTTGCGAGCCTCTCACGTCATCCGAAGGACGTGTTCAGCTCAAGCCGCTCGTCATAGGAGTCCACGCGGAAACCGGCCCGCGTCCCTCATCATCTCTTCATTGTCCTGTGTCACTCCTCCCTGGCAGAATCTGCACGGCTGCAAGGGTCGAAGTGGAGCCTGTCCAATGCCGGCGCAGCGAATGTCCGAGTGCAAGAAGCCGTCATCTCCTCTCCAGGTCCTGGCTCCACGAACTCGCTGCCTTTCTCCCAACCAGCATCTGGAACAAGGCAAAACCGCCCGCATTCCGCGAACTGTGGCGTTTCGCAACCCGTAACAGTTGCGGCGCCAATGCATTTTATCACCCATTCCGGTCAAATGATATACCTCGACCGCTTCAGGCTCAGGTCGCAACTCCCGCCACCGAAGCTGCTCCATCACCCGCAATTCCTCCCGCCAGCGTGCATTCAAGCGTTCGTCCTCCGCATCCGGTTCCACTGGCCTAGGCGGAGGTTGCTCTACAGCTGGCTGTTCTGTTCGATCAGCGTCTCCCCCTCGGCGCCTCCTCATTGAACTTGCCCTCGAGGGATTCCCGCTTCCCGAGCTGGAAGACCTGGCCGCCGAAGTGCTCTGTGTTCTCGGTACCTCCACGACCTCTTCCTCACTTTCCGTTTGGGTGCATTGCTCCACACCTCTCACTCTCAATCTCTTCATCCTCAGACAGATGTCCGACGCCGCTTCGTGAACCAAGCGGTACACCACAATCGCCACCACTGCGATCACCAGGACCACCACCGCAAGGTCAATCTTCTCCTCCTCCGGCTGTTGACTCCCTTGCGCCTTGCATCCTGTGATCATGATCAAGATCACCAGCAGCTTGATCCACTTGTCCACATCCGGCTGCACCACTACGGCCTTGTTCAGCCTGCTTGGTTCAGCCTCTTCTCGCATGGCCTTCAAATTCCACAAGGCACACAACTCCTTGATCCTCGCTGGGCCCAGTGGCTTTGTGCCAAGATCGGCCAACATCTGTTGTCCAGGGCAATGACGTAACTCCCAATCACCGGCTCTGATTCGCCACCGAAGATGAAACGCTCGAAGCCGGAGATGCCGCGTTCGCCAGGATCCCGTCACGTCGGTGGCAATCGCCACCGCTGCTGCGTTATCAGACAGCAGCATCTTCTTGAAGTCGTCCAGCCCCAAGGTGTCAGTGATCAGCGCTTCAACACTGTCCCCCAGGATCACGCTGTCAATAGCCTCGATCAACTCGCATTCGGCCGTGGATAAGGCTGGAAACGCTTGCTTCCCTGCTTTCCACGCGATGACCGTGCCGTTCCACGACACCAGGGAGCATCCTTGGCTTCTTTCCCCCAGTGGGGCGAAGGAGGCATCAGCGTATGCCTGAAGTCCTGCTGCTCCATGACCGCTCCAATGCCGTCCAGATTCTCCTGATACCCACAGCCCCCAGTCCTTCGTTGAGTCCAGGTAGCCCAGGATATAGCCTGCCGCTCTGACGACCCACTTCGGGTTCTTCGACACCATGCTGCACAGGCGACTCATGCAGTAGAGAAGGTCGGGCCGTGTTCTCGTCATCAACCACAAGATCTCGCCCGTCACCTTCTGTGCCTTTGCGAGATCCGTCATCGTGTGGTTGCCGATCTTCTCCTCAGCTTCATCCGCCATTTCCTTGGACATGGGCGTCTTTGCCTTCTTCACCTCGTCCTTGTGCCGGGTCAGCAGTTCCTCCACGTAGTCCTGCTGGTGTAGGAAGATTCCATTCTCCTCCTTCTTCAAGTTCATTCCCAGAAATCGGATCTGGTGCCCGGTCTTCAGCACCTCCGGCACGCTCGTCTCCCACTTCTCCGCAATGATGGCCTCAAACCTTTCTCGCACGGCCTCCTCCGCCGCAGTGAGGACATCATCGACATAGATGGTGACCAGTCCCGCCAAGATCTCCTCCGCGCCTCGGATTTCCAGTATGCGCCACAAATTCTGTTCTGCAGCACACTGATCCAGCTTGTAGTAGGCGCCGTTGACCTCCCACTGGACCGTCACCAGCTCCGCGTCGCGGTGGTCTGACCACCTTCTCGGGCTTTGGCGAAGCCCATACATGGCCTTGTCTATCAGCCATAGTTCTCCGGGCTCTGCGTAGCCCATCCTGACCATAATCGCCGGCGGTCTCATCGCTACCAGGTTCTCCGGCTCCTTTTCACCATGAATGTCTGCATTGAGGAATGCAGACTTGATGTCCAATGCGGACATCGTCCATTTCTTCTCCATGGCAACCTTCACCTGCAAGCGGATCGCCGTGATGTCCGTACCACCTGCGAAGGTGTCTCCTTCCGCCTCCGAATTCTGAGCAACGTAGTTTCCGCACACCACCAACCTGGTCTTCCGGCGCGAACTTCCCGCTTTCACGCTGAAGATTGCCTTGCCCGGGACCACGGTCAGCTTGTTGCCCTTCTCCTTGATCAGCTTCGCGGCTTCCCCAGGAGTCAATCGCCGCAACGCCTTCTTTTCCGTCATCAGCGAATCCAGCTCCATTTTGATCGACGTCGCCCAGGCTTCCTTGTCCGCGATCACCTCATTCGTGGAGACCATCTTTGTATGCAGGACCTTCTCTGCCTCCTTATAGTCCGGCACGGTCTGCTTCAGGTTCTCCTCCTCTTCTTTCAGCTTCCTCACCATCTTAAAGGTGACTTCAGCTGCGTCTTCTCCATCTTCCAACATCCTTTCTTCCTCCTCCATAATGAGGTTCCGCAGCAATCGTATCCGCTCCGCAACCTTTTCACCCCCTCCATCGTCCATTCTGCTCTGCTCGCTCGTTTTCATCCTCAGTCGTCTTCTCACATGCAGAGCTTCATCGAACAGAGCATCCCCATCGGGATTCTCTTCCTCCTCTTGTCCTTCTGCTCTCGGGGCTTCCCCTTCTCGCAAGCCTGAGAGAACCTTCGACACCGCCACTACCTTGTTGTCACAGTCCAGCTTCACCGCATGACCGTGGGTGATGTCATAGAGCGGGGCCAGGTACTTGCCTCGCTGATTCTTCGCCTCGAAGGACTTCTGCTTCCAAGCTCTCTTTGGTACCACAACCTCCTCTCCGAATTGGTACTTCGGATGGTCTCCGGTCTGGTCGAACTTGAAGCGCACCTCCGAGACGTACCGGGCGATGCAGGGCCACCACCTTGGTTCCCATCGTGATGCTATCAGCACCCTCCTGATCATTGACTTGACGACCCCCACCGCAGCTTCCGCCCTTCCGTTCTCCTGCATCTGGTCCGGTGTCCTGGTGGACTTTCTAATGTCCCTCAGTCTGCACCAGCTGGCCAGCTCCTTGCTCATGAACTCGCCTCCTTTGTCTGAATGCAGTCTCAGCACCAGGTGGCCCTCTCTCCTCAATCTGATATAGACCTCCTGGATCGCCGCTAAGACCTCCCGCTTGTCCTTGGATTTCAGCGGGACCGTCATGTACAACGTCTTCAGCGGGTGCGGTTCCTTCTGGATTTCCGGAATCACCGGCTGCTCCTCCTCCTCTCGGGCTCCTTCCACATCGAAGCCTTCTTCTTCCTCCTGCTCATCCTGATCCTCCTGTTCCGCCACCGGTAGTAGGTCTTCTCCCTCACCTGGTTCTGCAGCAGGAAGTTCCTCACCTTCCTCGGTGTTGATCTATGGCCATGTGAACGCAGCCACGAGCAGGTACCTCCGGTCTTGGACGCCATCCACATCGATGCCCTTGATGAACGGTCCACTCAAATCCACGGAGAGGACATTCCCGGCTGGATGTCGTACCCTTCGATGTGGCCTGTCCTTGGCTGAGGCTTCCTGACAAACTCGGCAGTCCCGCCGAAACGGTAGGTGCCCCAACTTCACGTGCTCTTCCCATGACAGTGCCTTGACCTTCGTTCTCGACTCACCGTCCACCTCCTTTCGAAGGCACCTTGCGAGCTCCCGCATCATCCCAGGGGCCCATCGAGCCAATGCCTTCGAGGAGCTGAGCTTCTCCTCGTCCGTCATCATCCACCTCGGCTTGTCCATCTCCTGTTCTTGCCCTTGATGACCTCCTTGATGTAGCTTGCAGATGCCTTTCTCGGGACCTCTGAAGTCCATGGTGGTCCCGACCGTCGTAGGCTTCGCCGCTCGCCCACCCCGGTCACCTTGCAAGAACGTTACCTTCTTGAGCTCGTGGAGCTTCTCCAGAGCTTCCCACTCCGGCGTCCGCCACCACGATGCACACCTCGGCTCCGCCTGCGGCTCTGCCGGTTGCTCCAGGAAGAACTCCACAGCACCTCCTTCTTCCTCTCTGGCCTTTGCCGTGAGGTCCGCCAGCAAGTAGACCAGGATGAAGCGAAACATGAGCACGTCATCCTCGTACACAATGGCTTCTTCTCCTTGATCCATTCCCGGCAATCCCCAGGGATGTTCCACCGTTCTCACCGGTCGCGGCCTGGCCCTGTTGAGCAGCGGGAAGAACCGCAGCACTGATCGCGTCCTGCAATTCGGGCCCCCCACCACTGCTTTGATTCGGTCATCCAAAGCCAGCCGCACCAAGCCACCCATGAGCTCGTCGCCCATGAGGTCGTGGCTGTTGTCACGGAGGATGTCATACTCCAAGATGTCCCTTGGGTCACCTCCTTGCTCTTTATAAGCCCGGGACAAGTCAAATCCCTCCTCCGGACCTGCAAACAAGTGCACAACCGCACCTCCCTTTCTCTCAAGCCTTCTCCTCCGGCTCCTATTCAATCCCAGTGGCTTCCAGTCCTCCGCCGGATTGACCATCAACTTTTCCTTGATTGCCTCCGGCACACCGTCGAACACCGGGTGCATCTCCACCACCTTCTTGATGAAGTCCACCTCATCCCGCTTTGACAGCGCCTTGACCCTGTAGCGGTTCACCCCCTCCAGCTCCTGGATCAAGCTGAGGGCTAGTTCTCTTGGCAACTCCGGGCAGCCTTGACTCATCACCACCGGTAGACGTCCTCGTCCAGGGTGCACCACCGCACAGGTCTTTCCGCTCCACTTGACCTGGCAGTTCAAGTCCTTCGTGAGCATTCCCATGGGGATGATCGGCTGTATCCGCTCGTCCTCCGCAACCAGGGTTCCTCCCAAGGTGACCTTCAGGCGGTAGGTCTCTCCGGCCGCCAGCTCTACGGTCTTCTCCTCATAGTCCGAGGTGTCTTCGCCCTTCATCATGGGTCTCAGCGGGTGCGTTGCTCCTGAATCCACCAGTCCGCGCATCCCACCAATCTCCACCTTTGACAACCTCACCTGTCGAACCCGCATCTTTTCTCGCATGCCGTCCAGCTGCTTTTGCAGGTCCATCAGCTTCTTCTCATCGTCTTCCGGTCCATTCTTGCCGGTCTTGACGTTGATGCTCCTGAGCATTTTGGTTGCCTCCTGGAGCACGTCCTTCATTGCGTCAGTCTCCTTGTCGCCCGATGCCGAACTCGCCGCTCCCTGTGACTCCTCCTGCATCGCTACCGATGTAGCCGCCCTTGGAGTTATAACCTTCTGGCTCTCCGTCGCGACTTCCTTCTTTGCTTCCTCCTCCGCGTTAACCTTCGCCGCCTTGGGCTTTCGGTCCGCGTTGCTCTTGATCGCCACGGGGCAGTCCTTCCGCATGTGCTCGCTCGCCCCGCATGACCAGCATCTCATGCGTTCATCTTTCTGGTCATGGCTCCAGCGGCAGCCACGTCCTCTCCTGCAGCCCTTCTCGGTAAGAAAGAACTTGCTGGGTTTCCCACCTTCTCCAGCGTTCTTCACCTCATTCTTGAAGTCCACGGCCTCTGCCTTCTTAATGCGGGTGTCCGTGGCCTGCGCCTTCCCCGCGGGGGCCTTGACCTCCTTCTCCAAGTGGGCGATCGCTTCCACCTCCGACAAAACGTGCTCCGCGTACTTCTCCACTGCCTCGTGCGAGGGGATGGAGTCCAACTGGAGCGAATTCCTCGCCAGGGCCATCTTAAACGAGAGCTCTGGCTGCATCTCCACCACTTTCTTCACCATTTTGCTGAGGGAGCGGGCCAGTACCGTGGGGTCCGGAATGGTCACCCCAAGTTCCTGTGCCCTCTGCTTCCACCTCATCCATTTCCTCAACCCAACCACCAGCGACGTCAGGGAGTCCACCTCGGGGGGACTTTCCAGGTTCTTCAGGATGACCGATTTCTCCACCAGTCGTAGCTCGCCATGAGCTTGCAGAGAATCGCATAGCAAGTCATGGATTTCGTTGCCACCATTTCCTCACGAGCTCCATCAGGAAGAGCGCGAAGAAGTAGCCCTACAGCCCGCCTCTCCAGCCTCCGCCATTTCGGTTCTTGAAGTTCCGGAGGGTCCTTCGGCTGCAGCTTGAGTCTTTCCAGCGGCGGCGTAGTCTGGTACTTTCCGTACCACGTCCTCGCCGATTCCACCACTTGCTGCCACCATTGCTGTGACGATTCACTGAGGTCCGCCATGATCGGCTCCAGGACACAAATCCAGTCTCCCAGGTCAATGGGAGCACTCTCCGGCTTATACTCCACAAGCTTCGGCAACTCCGTCGTGACATTCTTCACCGTCTCGCTCGTGTCGTCGCCGTGGTCCACCTTCTTCTTTGTGTCCAACATCTGCTGCTGCATGTTCTGCATGCCCTGCACGATCTTCAGCATGATGTCCAGGGACTTGTCCTTCGGGCCCGTCGGCTCGTCCTCCCGTAGCTCCGAGGATTCTTCCTCAGGATCAGCAGGTTCACCTCGAGCTCCACGGCCTTCAGGGGCTCCATGTTCCTCAGGCGTAGCAAACCTGTCACTCTGATCACCTCCTCGAGCAGCTTCCACCTCCGGCGGTTTCCAGTTCTGCTGCATGTCCTGGACTTGGCTGAGGCATCGCCCCACCTCCTGATGGAGCCTCCGGTTATCCGCCAGGATCTGTGCCATGTAGTAGCGCATCTCCTGCATCGGATCTGGCCATTGAGCATGCCGTCCTGGTTCAGGTAGCCCCGGCTGTTGCAGCGATCCTTGATCTTGCCATTGAGCAAGCCGTGAGCCTTCAAGATGTCCCCCAGGTCCAAGAAGTACCAGCTGCGGCCCCAGTTCTTGCCGTTGAGCAGGCCGTGGGCCTTCAGCATCTCCCGCTGGTCCTGGTAGAGCAAGATGTTGTGCTGCCAGCGCGAACTGCCTTTCCACCTGCATGCCCTCATTGGACCGCTGGATGTAGCCCTCAAAACCTCCATGACCTGTTGCAGCTCCCGTTGCGTGAATGAGCGGAGCCTCGGCTGTCCACTCATCCAACCTTCTCATCTGCTCCGGAGTGAACAGCTCGTTCTCTGCCGGCCCGGGCTGAATCGACGATGGCTCCCCCTGCGGCCCTCCAGGCCATTGGGTCGAAGCTGCCGCCTCAATCAACCCGTCCGGCCTGGCTATCAGGGCAGGTTCCACCACCTCCTCCACCACTGGGCCGACTCGGCCTCCAGTTCCCTTTCCGTTGGTCTCCAGGGTGGTCCTTCTCCGGGTCCTCCCTGGTTCAGCGCCATCCATGGCGCCAGTGTCACACCGCGTGACTTGGGCTCATAACCTGTGAATCTGGCTATCAGTCCGGCGCACTTTTGTCTGTGCGCTTCGAGTACAAAGCGGCTTCCGGGACCGCTTACTAATCTCAAACCTCAAGCAAGGGGCCTCAAAGTGGCTACCCTCCACATGTTTTGGAAAACCTGCAGGGCAACCCTGTGTCATGTGGCCACCCCTGAAATGGGCGGTTTCCCTCTGGTTTACCGAGGTGTAAGCCACAAAAAGCGGGCAGTATTTTTCCGAGGCTCCGCACCAAATGGGGATCTCCGGTTTTGAACCATCCCCGGGTTCCACGATTTCCCCGGCACTGTCGTGGCGCGGATGTTTTTCTTTTTTCACCACTTCATCATGTTCAAGTCTTTATTCGTGTTGGTTGCCTTAATTTCCTGCTGCGGATTTGGGTTTGGGCCCCCCCAATGTTGAACAACCCAGCCAAAAAATGAGTGGCCCTTGTTGGGGGCAGATGTTGGGGGAAGAAGGGCAGAACCTGGCACAATAGCGAGCACTTTGGTGCATGTTGCTTGGCTGTTAGGACTTCAACTTGTTGCCAACTAATGGGTTTTCCATTAAACCACTAAAAGTTAAACTTTTAGCAGGGGAGCAGAAAGCAACCGAGAGCATATGAGACAACACGGATCGCATTTGAGATATCTCGGACCAAGCTCAAATTGGGTCCAGCTGCAGGATGTCGACCGCGAGCCGGAAACCCAATCAAAGCCCACTCCAAAACGAGTATTTGGAAGGCGGCACCATTGCCTGCCATTTGCTTAAGAATATGTTTCCCCCCTGTTGGTTTTAAATGGAATCTATCACTACTGGAAGTACATATGTTTTTTGTTTTTTGTGTTTTTTCCTTGGGGCTTGAGCAAATGGCAGTTGCATGTTATCTCGGTTCGTTCCACCAGTCTACGTTGGTTCTGGTCTACTTGGTGGCTCTCAGCCATCCGGTTCCTTAGCTTTTTAGATCTTTTTAGTGTTTAGTGGTTGGTTTTCCATTTGGCCCACTAAAAGTTATTTTCACTTTTCACGGGGTCTTTTTAGTGTTTAGTGGATGGTTTTCCATTTGGCCCACTAAAAGTTCGTCACTTTTCGCGGGGGCTTTTTAGTGTTTAGTGGTTGGTTTTCCATTTGGCCCACCAAAAATTGGGATTTTCGCTTTTCGCGGATCTGAAAACGGGCCCAGTCGACGGCTGGGCTGTGGCCAGGTGATGAAGGGCAAGCTGATGACGGTGGAAGATCGCGCAGGCAGCGGACTGGTCCGCCGCTGGGACGAACCTTCCAGCGGTTTTAGCCAGTTCTCGCTGTTCTTGGCATGTGTTTTTAGATTTTTAGTTTTTTGGTTCTGTTCATTTTTACTGGGGGTCTGCAAAAAAACATTTTTTTGCTACCATACCAAGAGTAGAAATGCAGTGCTACGCCGTTTTTCGGATGGCTTTGGCCATGTTTGGCGCCCTCTCGAGCGGCTTCACTCAGCTCAGGTCTCGGCGAGTTCTACGGCACCAACAAGGCAGCTACGATGCGCGTCACGCCGCGAGGGGTGTGCGATGCGCGAAGACTGGCCGTAATTTCCTTTGGGTCAGCCATCTTACATCTTTGCCCTTGACGAATGATGAGCAAAGAAAATATACAAATCCTAGGTTGTGGTTTGAATGCTGACCAAGAAATGCGGTGGCTTCAGGATGAACCTGACAAGTGAAGAGTGCAACACAGAATAGTAGACAACTGCACTTGATTTAAGGACAGTGCCTCGCTCCAATCAAATCCAAGAGTTGTTGACGGGAGGATGGTACCGTTTTTCAAGCTGATTCGGAATGAAACGGGGTGTCGGAGCAATTCAGGCAAACACGGCCCCCTGTCGCAGCGGAAACTCCGATCTCACATGTTCCATGCGATTTTCCTCTGAGCCCCAAACAATGGGTGCGCAGTGGTAAAGGTTCGCGGAACTCCACAGCACGAAACTGCTCGCATGATGTCAACGTATTAAATTTGGAGTTGCCACGGTCCTCGACCAAAAAAAAACGACGGCGACATGTTTGAAGTGTTGCGAGGTGGTAAAAATACTCCTCGGACATCCACCAAGTAGTAAGGATCCTAAATTACAATAATACTTATAATGATTTCCGTTTAAACAACCATGATATAGGGAGTCTTGGACATGGTTCATGTGCATCTTGTTTAATGAGAGCAATGGGTCTACCATGGACAGTGGCCAACTCAAGCAGAGCCTGGTACATATTCACGACTGAATTCCCCACTGGAAAACCGCCCCTCATGAGCACGGTCGTCCGGATTGACTTGAAATTGACGTCAGAGCTGGTGTTAGGCTGGAACTTTGATGAAAATTCACGTAGAACCCAAAAGGAGGCTCCAGCAAAAAGAGATTCTTATTAAAGCTCTGGTTTTTGTTGGGTTTTATGTTTTTCTGCAGGAGTGGTTTCTGCAATAGGCTGAATAATTAAGCATGTTGTTGTTGCATGCTTCAACTTGGTTTAACATTGTGGGTGGACAAAATCCTGCACCAGTTGGGATGGATGAACCCCTCTCAAGACTATGACAAGCCACTACTTGCAGGTTTGTTGTCCATCACTACCCCACCTTGTTATCAGTTTTAGGCTGCGTTTGCCTAAGAATATGTTTGACGTTCCCCTGTTGCTTTCAAGAAATGAATCACTACGCGTTGTGGCTCCCAGCCATCCCCTTAGCCTGCTAGCTTTTTAGTGTTCAGTGGTAGTTTCCGAATTTAACCCACCAAAAGTTATTTTCTCACTTTTCGCGGGGGCTGCCCCACCACAATTTGGTTATTTTCTCACTTTTCGCGGATCAAACGGGCAGCCGACTGGACATTAATGTTCTCTGCTTCTTCCAGGGCCTTTTGTGCAATCCGAGCTCGGAAAGGGTGTTTTTTTTGATTTTTTTTTGCCTAGCCGAAACCTACCCCAAACCTTTGTCCGTGAGTGTCTCCAGGCTGTGCCAGGGTTAGGGCTATGCCAAAAAAAACACACACCAAAAAAAACACAAAAAACACCTCAGCTCTCGGATCCCTCGCCGAGCGCCCCGAGCGGCCGAGCGCCGTTTCGTGCTCAGCTGAACTTCCACTTCACGGAGGGCCCGGACTACTTGCGCGCTAACGGCGTGCTGGATGAGAGCGACCCCTCGGACCCCAAGGCGTGGAAGCATCGAAGCTTCTCGCGGCAGAAGAGGAAAATTCGCTTCGCTTTTCTGAGGCGGAAGGTTCCGGTACCTTTGCTGGTGGGGATCAGAGGGAAAATGTGGATGGTTGCGAAAACCCTTTCGCACCACGTAAAAAGAAGCCTGGGGTGAGTCGCTTCCCCTGTAAATACCATCGCACATTGGTTTGCTATGGTTTCAAAGTGGTGCAGGATTTCGTCAACCCACAGAATGAAAGGGGAATCCCACCGTTTTGGGGTCAAACCAGAGAGATCGATGGTAGGCTTACGTTGGAATATTTGACTTCAGGTTTTGAAATAAACCGTAGAGTTTGCACATACAGGAGGGCAGCAAGAGGGGGGGGCTTCACTAAGTGCCCCATCAAAACCAGACAGACTCACTAGCTTTTGAATGTCTAAACGCAGGCCCAGCCTTTTTCAACTGGTGTTCGGAGGGAACTCCTGCAAAATCAACCACCAAAAGCTGGGCTCCCCTTATTTTCTGCAAAGATGGCTCCGTTAAAGACAAGACTTTACAACTACTGGGTTTTTAGACAATTTGGTAGTTTTTAGTATGTCACCTTACTGGGCCAGTGAATTCCTGAACTTTTATTCCTTGACATGTTTGCCATGTTTGGGAACACGTTTTAGTGGCAAACAATCAGTATGTATTTTTGCTTTTCCCAATCTATCAGACGGAGAATTATTGGTCAGAGCCACTGTCAAAAGCCTGGTGGATGAAGGTCAGTCATAACATAGGTATGTATTCCGCCTTGTTAATGTCCCCAGTAGTTTGAATAGCCCCTTTGAATATCAAGTGTTGATTATCGCCTAGTTTGGTTGAACATGGGTGGCATCAATATCAGTTTGGTTTTGCACACCTCCCAGCGTCAATTTATTCAAGGAGCAAAGGGCCGGGTTAGCAGCTGTGGACCGTGTGGTCAAAGATTCCAGCAGTTTGACGGTTCAAGGACCCCTCTGTCAGCACAATTATGGGGGAGAATGGCCTTGAAAGCCGCGCTCCCTGATACGATGCTCTTTGGGATCTCACAGAAACGGTTGCTTTGCGCCATAGTTTGTTTAAAGGAAATCCGCGAGATCCTTAACCAAGGGGTTGCGCAAGGAACTGATCCCCTTTGTATTGGCTTCCCTTTTCGGGAGTATGGATCGGCGTTGGCCAACCCTCCATGTTAAACAGCATGGGGGAGAAGAGGCTGGAAGGCCATGCTCCGTGCCTTTGAAAAATCTCAACACGGTTTCTTTGTTACGACTCTGAACATCACACAGTTTTACTCACTCCCTTAGTTCCCGAGCTTTTAGCTGTTTGGGTCGGGACCATTGCCGACGCCCCGCGCGGCTGTTTCTTTTGCGAAATGGCAGTTTTCAGGAGAAGTAAGCCCCGCTGTTCTTCCATTTGCTTAAGATTTGTTTTCCCCGATTTCACTACTGGAAAAAACACAGGGGGCGAAACAGCACATGGACGTGTTTCCTCAGGTGATGATTCCGAACTACCTGGCCAGCCCCTCCAATTGCGTCCAGCCCTCCGGCAGCTCGGCCCAAGATCGGCCACGACAGACGGAGCCCCAAAGGTGCGTGGCTAAGACTTGGCGCAAGTTCTTGAAGCGCCCTTGGGCCAACTTCTGTTTGTTCTTCACTACTTAAAACCGTGTGTTTGTTCTTCACTACTTAAAACCGTGTGTTTGTTCTTCACTACTTAAAACCGTGTGTTTGTTCTTCACTACTTAAAACCGTGTGTTTGTTCTTCACTACTTAAAACCGTGTGTTTGTTCTTCACTACTTAAAACCGTGTGTTTGTTCTTCACTACTTAAAACCGTGTGTTTGTTCTTCACTACTTAAAACCGTGTGTTTGTTCTTCACTACTTAAAACCGTGTGTTTGTTCTTCACTACTTAAAACCTTGTGTTTGTTCTTTACTACTTTCAAGCAACCAGAAGTGATAACATTTGGCAAACAGCCTTTCGTTTGTGGGATTGGCTTAAAGGAAAAACAGACACTGGGCGCTTTCTGTTTTTTTTGGGAGGGTTGCCCATTTGGAGACACACCGATTCGCAGATTCGCCGTGAGTGCTTCGTTTTTCAGGTTGTTGTTACATGGGAAACATTTTGCATGTTTGTTTCTTGTGGTTTAGTGGTTGGAATCCAACCACTTAGCTGCTAAGAACAAAAGCTTTTGCTCCCCTTCCAACGGCAACCAGGTTTCTATGGCTAGTTTGAGGGTCCAGGTATGATCGAAGCGGTCTTGTGCGAGGTTCGACCCATGCAGAAAAAACTGGTGGACAAAGTGGGGTGTTGCCACAAGTGAATGGTGCATTCCCAGTTCAATTTTGGATGCCCCACAGATTGGCCAGTTGATTGGGCCCCGATAGGGCTCAAGGAATTGCGGGGTAGGCCAGCCTAAGGCAGGGGGGATATGTTAGGTCCCAGCGAAACCATGCAAACACCAGCGTTGTTCATGGGGTTTGCAGCAAATGACAGCGAGGAGCAGTGGTTTCCTTCTTCCCTGAAACGTCATTTGATTCGAAGAATACATTTTTACCCTGCGCACCGAGGTTCAAATTCTGGGGGATACGGAATGCCTCTGAAAAGTCTTGGAATTGGCAAAGCGAAAAGGGAGCCAAGGAGCTACGGAGCTTGGCCCGGAACTGGGAGAGGGGTGACCCCTGAAATTCCATGGTTGCATTTCCCCCTCCTATGGGGAAAGCCAGAGAAATGGATTTCGGGGCCCATCCACCCCCCTTCCCTTTCTGGTAGGGCGGAGGGTCCTTCTTTGGTTCCGAAGTGAACACTGCGTACCTTTGTCGGCGCAGGCTATTACAGCATTTGCCCCTTGGCTGCATGGAGCTTGCTCTCGGCTTACCTTTGCATAAAACAAGCTGAAAGGGGACCCTAAGACAAACAAATCTAAAGACGTTGGCTTAAGATGAGTTGGCAGCTCACTGAAGACTTTGTTGATGGTGTGTGTTTTTTTCTACCTGTTGGGTCCCACATGTTGGCTTCGCGGAGTTTGAATGGGCCGTGTTTAAGCTGTGGCAGCTTGGTCTTGAGACTGCTGAGATGTATGTCCACATTCGCGTGGTAGGGGGCCAACTGTTGTGGGAGTGTCATTTGTGTTTTGGCAAACTGTTTGGGAGGCGACACTTGAGGCTGTGCATATCCCCCGAACTCGAAGCGGGCTTAACTTTCCGCACTTTGGCTGCCTTCCCAACAAACAAACATAAAGGAAACTAGCAGGCACACAAGCAAGAAAGCAAACAGGCAAACAGGCATAAAGCACGCAGGCAAGCAAGCGAGCGAGCAAGCAAGCAAACACGTAAACAAGCCAAGAAGCAACAAGCAAGGCAAGCAAACACACGACTCAGAAGACTCGAGATGCTCTGAAGAAAAACTGCTTCCTGAGTGCATGTTTATGCGATCAGCAACGTCTTGGCCGTTTCCGTTTTTGGTCCCGGGAGCTTTGAGGCTTTCAGTCAGTGGAAGCACAGTGACGAAATCCAAAATTTCCCACCGTTCCTCAGTTGTCCAAAGCCGAGACCTTTTAACCTTTTGGTTTTCCAGTTTTGGTACCCATTTTTAGTCATGGCTCCAAAAGGTGAACCTTTTATTTCTGGGTCCCTAAGGGGCAAGTGAGGTTCAGCAACCCTGGAATGATTCGATCCCCCTACCACAATCCTGGGACTGGTCCTGGGACCAGTCCTGGTCCTGGGACCGGTCGGCCCGCAAGGAAACTCTGAGCTGTCCTTAGGCCAGCTTGATTAGATTTCAATACATGGATTCCACATGGAGTTTCTTCCATTGACCAGGGCATTCCGCCAGGGTCTATGGAACGCCAATGGTCTTCCCTAGGCTGCTTCGATGAGTGCGAGGCTTTGATGGACCAGGCCGGATAGCCGGCCGCTTCGCTTCGTGGCCGCGCCGGGCCTTCTGAACCCCAAGGCAACGAAACGACCACCCGTGTCCCGTTCGGGTCACTTGGCCGGCCGGGATGAAGGCTCCTTGCGCCGGGATGCATGTCTGTTTTCATTTTTTTGGCTTGGTGAATGGTTTTTTCAAGGGGGGATCCAATGGTGCTTAGCAAGTGGAGAGCAAGCCTGGTGAAAGTACCTACGTAGGAGACTTATAACCATGGCTTTTGTGGGTAAGAACCGGGTTTACGAACGACTTACCACCAGGCTTACCCTGTAAGTGTCATTTACACAAAGGATGGACAGTTCCCGGGCTGGCAAAGGGGAGATGGTTTTTATCCGCGCCAGAGGCAGCTTAGCCTTCGATAAACGCCTTGCAAGTTCTTGACATTGGTTTGGGTAGACCCTTGGCATGCCAGCTTTTCATTTTGACTCGGATTCCTCTTGGAGAGGGAGTTTGTGCACTTCCATTGTGCCCTTCCAGTCTGGTAGAAAGTAGCACCCAATTCTCAGTGGTTCATAGTCCTTGTCGAGCGGGCAGGTGCACAGTCTCCTGACTTGCTCTGTGGCCTCTTCTGAAGCTGGAGCCAACGGGCTGTGTTTCTGGCTGTGTTTCTTACCTGAGCCATGAGTCAAATCCTGGGTAAGTGAAGGCTGGTTTCAAGTCCCAAGAGGTGCCCTTGGACAATGCAACAAGACTTCTGCGATCTGGGGAATCCCACGGGTGATCCAATCTGTCGCAAAGGGCCATGTTCGGCCAGGATCCATGGTTGAGGTGCCGCGCGATTCCTTTAAAGGAATCCCTCTTGGGTTGCGCAACGACAAAGAATGGAGTCACCCCAAAAAAGTAGATATCATTACATATCTTTTCTCACTCCCTGAGTTCCCTTCAATCTTTTTGCCGGCCCATCCACTCGAACGGAAGTGCGTAGATCTTTTTTGCTGAGTTCCAAATCCACGAAACAAGCTTCCGTTTACTGAAATGAATATTGTCCATTTCCCCCGTTGGTTTTAAAGCGAATCGGAAAAAAAACCCAGGGGTCTTAACCACATGGAAGTCAGAAACGGAGGCGCCCCAAGAGCTCCTCCTCTCGCGAGCCTCGGGACGTCTGCAGGTGGAGCAGGGCCTGGAAGCGCCGATGAGCATCTTGGCTTCGCCTCCGGGGACGTTCCGCTGCCGAACCCCCCCGTTTGACATGGAAGTGGGGGAGGGGCTGTTACCCTGGAACTAAAATTTTGTGGGTTGTGGGGAATGAATTCCATGTGTGGTTCAACAGGGGTCATTCCTTTGACCGTTTCTAGGGGTTATCAAAATTAAAATAAAATGGGGTTGTTTCCCTTAACTCATGACTTAGGGTGACTTTGATCATGGTAAAATAATGAGGCCAGGGTTCCATCTCCCCTTTTGTGGGGAAGCCTGGACAATTGGACTTCTCGTCACCGTGCTGCCTATTTTATTGAAAGCTCACTGGTTCAGGGGTATAAACCAACTTAAGCCATGATAAAGGTATAAAGGTCCTTTGCTTGCGGGTCCAATTCTTAATTCGGCGTTTAATTACAGCAAACATTTGCAGACTTTTTGGGTCCGGAGTCAAGTCTGGACCATGTTTAGCGTCGAATAACAAATTCAGACTCTCGTTTGGCCATTGGGGGGGGTGAGTTTTTGCATTCAAGGATTTCTGGTCGTTACGAGGCTCTTGGGGTCTGTGGGGTTCCGTGGTAGAAGATAGGAGTGAGCAAGTTGCCAAAACAAGAGTTTCAAAATAGCCTCGGTGTTTGGAACAAATCCAGACATGCATGGAACAAATCCAGTCGCCTTGGTCTTTGCAGCTGTTTGAACGAGGACACTGCACAAGCAGAACTGATTCATCTTCCCGCTCGCGAGCTTCCCAATTCGGCTCCTTAAGCCCAACCCGGCTCCACACCGAAATCTTTCACTTCCTGAGTTCCGTTTGGGGCTTGATCGTCGCTTTTTGGGGTTTGGACCATTTTTGGCCATCTGCTCGGGAGGTGAGGAAATGCTAGATTTGGAAGCCCAAGCCCTCCCTCTCGCCCGCAGAGGGCGAAAGCTGCTTTCCGATTTCCTTAACCGTAGGTTGGACACTCGAGCGGCATGAACAATTCGCTCCACTGGTCATGGCGTGATATGCCGATCATTGGCATTTTTCTTCATTCTGCTAGTGAAAACTGGGATCCGAGAATGCACACCAAACATGAGACGTTTCCGCATGGTCGAATCCAAGGGTTCCAAATCATTCTGTTCTACCGAAGCTCGGTTTGATTCCCCATTTTTTGCATGGCTCTCTTCAACCAATGTTTCCAAGAGGGTTTGGCCCATTGATATCGTGGACCCCCGTTTGGTTGGTGTTTGGGTGGGGGGTCCAACCTTAAACAAGACATCCCCATTTATTTAGTCATGTCGTTGTTTGATGGGCACCCCTTCTTTGTTGAGTTTTAGAGGAAATCAGGTGACCGCCATTTTGGGGGGTCAGAGTCCTAACTAAGCCCGGGTAATATCCCCAACGGCCCAAGAACCCCCGGAACCCTCCGGAACCCTCCCTGAAAGCTGCCCCAACCCACCCCTCATCGCCTATCTGGGCAGCGAAACCGGAAAAAAAAAGAAGAAGAAGACCAAAAAACAGCAACTCTAGGTCCCCCCAGTAGTGCCCTTTCTCACCCCTTGTTTGGTTGGGAGGGTTCCCCTAAAATAGACAAAAGAGAAAAACAAAACGGTACCAACTTATTCTAACTCCTCTCTACTGGAGGACCTAGTCATGGCCCCAAAAGGTGAACCTACTAACAATGAACAGAACCCAACAAACAAACACGAAACACAACTTGATCCAACAGTGCAGCAATCGTGTCACCCATGTCTTCGCTGTTCTTTGATTATGTGTTTTTTCTCCCCGTTTTTTTTTTGGTTCTGTTCATTTTGACGGGTCTGCAAAAACGCGTCAGTTTTTTGCCAGCCCATACCAAGAGATGATGTAGCGAGACGGAAATCGGGAGTGCTCTAGGCACCCCAGAGAAGATCGCAGCCCTCGCCGCCCGGTGGATCAGAGGATCAGAGCAGGAGCAGGAGATTTGGCGGGAGCCAGCCATGTCCCTGAGATTTTTAGGGGTTTTAGGGTGGTGTAGTGGTAAATTCCCTTAGGTTTTTCAGGGTTTTAGTTGGTCTTGCGGTAAATTCTCTTAATTTTTTAGGGCTTTAGTTGATTCAGTGGTAGATTGCCTGAGGTTTTTGTAGGTGTTTAGCGGTTTAGATGTAGTTTCCACTAAGCCATTTGCAGCTAGCCACTAAAAGCTGCAAAGGAAGCGTTCAGGCAATGTGAGCTGAATACCCGCGTATCGGATTCGGTTTTGGGTATCGATTTTCCAGCTTGGGCATCGGTTTTGGGTAGGGTAAGGGAATTCTATGTGGAACGGGTGGCTTGTGTTGCCACAATGCACGTTTCAATCACCACTTCAATGGTCCGGGCTGTTTTTTTTTGTTTGCTGCGGTTCCTTGCCTAAATCTTCCAAGGGAAGTCGTTGGTCTTCAAGGCCCTTGGGCTGGGACGAGTAAGCGGTGAGAGTGATGTGAGCTGTGAACATTGGTGCATTTTGCCAAGGGATGTCAGGACTTTAATTAATTTGTTGCCAACTGATGGGTTTTCCGTACTAAACCACTAAAAGTTAAACTTTTAGCAGGGGAGCAGAAAGCAACCGAGTGATGCTTGCCGAGAGGCCGGTATGAAGGCACCTGCGCTCCATGAACCGTTTGCAAGTCTGTGTCAGTTTGGGAGCTGTGACTCGCTTGCCCAAAGCGAATCGACCTTCTAACCTTGGCTCCAACAGGCGACCCTTCATTTCCAGCTCCAAACTGGGCAAGTGAGGCTGGAAGCTCGAATGGTCAAATCGCTCGCCCAAATCGATCTTTCAAGCTGTTGGTTTCCCTCGACTTGGTCCATAGCCAAGGCGATTCTCCAGGTCCAAACTGGGCAGTTGGACACGCATCCTCATCATGTCCACAAATGGATTCCCAATGAAAGCTGACAATATGTGACCTATGAAGGGAAGCCTTGTTTCCAGGTCCAAGCTGGGCAAGTGAGGTCAAGAGGGAGTTCTTAGCCAAGGCACCTGGAACGAGGAATGTTGGCCCCCTGAACACCCATTCCAGGAGCTTCAGAACAGCCCCCCCCCTTCCCTTAGTAAGGCCCGTAGTTGTCTGCCATTTGCTTAAATTTGTGATTTCCCCCCCTGTTGGCTTTAAGGGGAATGAATCAATACTGGATGTTTCTTCACATGTTTCCAGGGGACTGAAGCAAATGGAGGTTGTGTATCGCGGGAGACGGTTCATTTGGACGGCAAAAAATGCCCAGAGTTGCCAATGTTCCAAAGGAAGCCCCATATTTCACAGCCAGCTGCTAGCTGGTGGTTAGATGGGAGACGGACTTAGGGCTCGGGGTATCCAAATTTGCGTTCATAGAGGTAGCCTTCCGGAGCTACCGATCGGAGTCCTGTAAGCACATGGTAGCAACAGGCCCCTCTGTCACAGCATGCGCCTCAGTGACTCAGGTATCGAACCTTCCCTCTGCGACGCAGCGAGGCAACCGCACGCCTGGCACTTAGTGACTTAGTGAGAGATTTGTCAAAGCAAATCGAGGAAAGCTTCTTGTGGATTCCTTTCTTCCTTGCTTCAGTCGCCCTCTAATTGGTGGTTTGGATTGGTGATTTGCTGGTTAGGGGGCGCTTTTCCTTTGCAAGATCCATGGCGTACTCCCCAGTGGCCACCAATCCAAACAAACAATTGGAGCGAACTTGATTGCTTGTGAAGTATAGCAAGGACCTTTGGCCAGTTGCTTTCAGACTTCGAGTTTAGGCTCCCACATCGGCCAACCTTGCCGTAGTCGGCCCCTCAACATGCTCAAGCCCACAAAGAGAAAGGGTGCCGAATCTTTTCCTACCAGGGTCGATGGACAAGTGAGGAACAGCAACTTGTACTGGCAGACGCCAGGCTTGCTCAAGCAACATGTGGCGAGTGAAGCAACGTAGACTTGGTGGCTCCCAGCCATCCTTTTTAGTGTTTAGTTGGGCCCCATTTGGCTCACAAAAAGTTAAACTTTTAGCGGGGGATCCCGGGACAGCTCAGTAGACAACTACCAAAATCAGGCCAACTGAAATTCGGAGCTTTACATAGTATGTCGTGTTCATTTATAGGGGGTGATCCTCACCTTTGGGTGAATGAGTTTCCTTGGTTTCACTGTTGCTGGCAAAGTTTAGGTTTTTTGGTTATGTCCATATTTTGGTTGGGTGCTGCAAAGAAAAAGTCGTTTGCTACCATACCACTTTGGTGCATGTTGCTTGGATGTCAGGACTCTAACTTTTTTTTGCCAACTAATGGGTTTTCTATTACATGGTTGTTGTTGGGACACATTTTTCATTTTGATTATTGTGGTTTAGTGGGAAATCCCCACTGAACTGCCAACAAATTCAATTTTTTGCTCCCCTTCCAACGTCAAGATTAAACCACTGGAAGTTAACCTTTTAGCAGGGGAGCAGAAAGCAACCGAGACAACACGTGTTGTACAGTTGATGTTTGAAGGGGCCACTCTTTGCGCTAGGCTGTCCCCGCGACTCCTGGGGCTGCTGGATGAAGTGGCCAACCACCACGGCGGGATGGCGCAGGGCCCAGAGGGCAACCGGACCCCCAGAGACCCCGCAGCCTAAAGCCGTGGTCACCAGACAGGTTCCTTGAAATATCATGAAGCTAAGGGTGGAAGTACATGCCCCTTGTTCATACCGGTTCCTTGGCTTCCCTGGTTTCCAACCCACTTGAGGTGTTTTCCCCTTTTGGGGAGAGGGGTATGAACATCAGCAGGCCTTTTTGGGTTCATTTGTGCAAGGGGTATGTAAAAGGGGTATGTACAAGCACCCCTGGAATGAACCAGATTGAACCAGCAAAAGGGTATCTGGCAAAGGGGAGCCATGAGCTCATGGGTGGCTTCCTTCTGGTTTTCCGACAAAAGCTGTCCTAGGGTACCATCAAGAAAGGGGACACACCTAAATGCCTTGAAGATTTTTCCAACATTTGACCTCGTAGCAGCTCAGTATTCCAAACCGCTGTCATTTGCTCTAAGACTTGTCTCGGTTTTGCCCGTCAGCCACCAAGAAATCGCCGGCATGTGGAGGAAATTTTGGATCCCATTAAAGAAACTTTTTAAAGGTTGGGCAGAAGCGTAACTTCCACTGTCTCTAAGACCTCCCCAACCACAAAAAGGTTCACTCAGAACTCCGTCTAAGAACGTACTTTGATCATGACCTGTGCCAAACCATCCTGATCCTCTTGACCTGCACACAGCATACAGGCACATGGGGGAACCCACAAGATGGCTGGTTCCTTTTGGTTTTCCTCTCAAGCAGAACCCACAAAAGGGCATCGAGTCTCAAAAGATATGCATATGACGCCTACAGTTGATACATGGGTGTGTCTTTTTTAGGGGCTTCCCCCAAAATGGCTAACCGGTTTTCCTTTTAAGCCGAAGAAGGGGGTACCCTCCCTCCAAAAAAACAGGCGCGAGACCCAAAAAAGTGACCCGCCATCCATTTGCTCCCTGGGTTTTGAAGGGAAGATATCACTACTATGTTTCCATTTTCTTTTTGTCTTCTATTTTTCCTATATCGCTACTATTAAAGGCACTATACGGCAGTGGGTCAAAATATATACCCAAAATGGGAACCCTGGTACATGGAAACATGTGTGGTCCCATGGTGGTTTAATTGTGACCCACAGCCATATCACTGGAATCATGTTCTCATTTTCACTGGAACCATTTTGGGGTAGGTGCACCACCCATTTCAATTAATTTGGTGGGGATTGGGATGTTCACAGGGGGTGCGATTTGGATTTTGACCCATGGCCATATCACGACTGTTAAAGGGAATGTATCACTGGATTTATGTTCCCATTCTTTCCAGGGTTTTAGGGAAGATATCACCACTATTTGTCCATGGCTCCTACTATTTTTCCATATCACTACGATTAAAGGGATCCACTTTCTATTTTCCCCCTTTTTTCCAGATCACTACTATTCAAGGGAATCGATTTTCTAGTTTCTACTTTTGTATATCCTACTTGTTTTCCATATTCTATTTGTTTTCCATATCACTGGAGTTATGTTCTCATTATTTTCCTATTATTATTTTCGAGTTTTTGTTTTATTTTGCCATATCACCACCATTAAAGGGAATATATCACTGGATTGATGTTCGCATTTTGTCCAACTGGCCGGATCGAGGTGCCGCTGCATGGGCGGCTCTTCGCACAGTGGATGCACGAGGCCTACCCCCGCGAGCGCGGAACCCGAGCGGGGGAAGCGGGCGAGCGGGAGCGGGGGCGAGCGGAAGCAGGCGCTTGCGGGACGCTTTTTTCCGTGTCCCAAGCAAATCGCCCCAAAAGTCTTGGTGGCTCCCAGCCATCCCCTTAGCTTTTTTGATCCTTTTAGTGTTTAGTGGTAGTTTCCGAATTCAACCCACCAAAAGTTAAACTTTTAGCGGGGGATCTGAGGGCAGCCCAGAAGTCTGAGGGTTGTTCAAAGACTCAGTTGTCCAAAGCGAATCGACCGGATCTGACCCAATTTTGGGTTCCCAGTGGTCATGGCTCCAAGGTGATCACCTTTTATTTCTGGCCCAGGGGGCAACTGAGAAGGGGTGCGATGTTGGGCCAGTCCCCAAATCAGCCCCAAAGACCAGCTGATTTAGATCCAGATCCTGCAGCTTCTCTTGGGGTGTCTCCTATTTAAGGAACTCTGAAAATCTGCTGCCCTCCAAGAAGAGCGCACGGAGCAGAAAAAAGACGTCTCCTATCCAGGTGGATTCATCCGGGGACATGAAGCAACGTGGGATCCGTCCGGTGTTGTTGGGCTGTTTCGGGCGATGGCGACATGTTTGATTGATTGTGTGGGTGAATGCCGTTGTCGTGGACCTCCAGTTTGCGGGGCTAGTTGCCACAAGAAAGACATGGCCAATGATCAGATGCCAAGGTGGATCCTTGTTCCGTTGAGTGTTCTCCCGATTTCTAGGGTCTACTGGTTGGCCTTTTCATTTAGGATGTTAAGATTGCAGGGAGAATCCTAGGTTGATTACCCCGGCCATGCCGTTGGAGTGTCACCTCCCTTTCAGCCGCTGGAGAAATATATTTCGGGAGCATCGTAGTTGGCCACCAGAAGTTCCCAAACTTTCTTGGCCCGGGTCCAGTCTAGTGAGTTGCTCCTCAAGTCTGACTTTTGCGAACTCCCTTTGGGACCACTGGCTTTTCTGCTGAGGGAGCCTGGGATCATTATCTTGGAAGCATGTTTGCCGTTGGCCCATGTGTTATACTTGCCTTTTGAACGCAGGTAGCTGATACGAAGCATACTGGAACCGACCCCTACGTTGCAATCAGCTCTGCAGTACTTCCAGCGTTTGCAACCTCCTTTCACTTTGTGACTCGTGGCACCATACAAAATCTGCCTGACCAGCAACAGCTGACATACAAAATCTCGCCCCAAAGATCAAACTGACCATGTCATTCTACCGTGAAGTCATCAATCATTCTACCCAGAATTAATGACTTAGAAGTTTCACGTCGTCTCTCACTGCGAAGCTCTTCTTTGCGATCGACACCTACCCAAAAAAGTGGCATGCTGCACCTGCACCATGACTGGTTTGCTTGTTCACGAGGGGTGGCAACTGGACTGGCTGGCCGTTGGCCAAGCCCTTGCCAAGCGGCATGCGATCAATGCGTCAAAGCCGTTGCCATATTTTGGTGGCATCCACTTTGCAAAAAAAACGGCATCCAGTTCTGTCACTAAACCAGCTGGTTGGCAGGGAGCCAAGGAGCCGGGGTCCAAATTGTCTTCTGCTTCTTTGGAGGGAGCCTTCCGGAGCTCCGGCCGAAGTCCTCAGTCAAAAGCTGACCCGCTCCGAACCTGGCCCCAGGTTTCTTCACCTTGCAGGCCAACCAGAAGTCTCGAGAAACTTGTTACCCTCCCACCAATGAGCATGGAACCTGACGTGGTGTCCCTTCAAAAGGAAAGACGTTTGGAGACGCTGCGCCAGCCTTTCCTTGGCTTTCGCATTGCGTTGGCCAAGGTGCAACTACCCAAGTGCTGGCTCTACGTCACGCGACCGTGCCTTTGAACAAAAGATTGGGGCGCCAGCTACGCAGTTGTTTCTGCATCGGCCGGACCTGTTTAACATGCTGACGGTCCCACTGTGCGGGTGCGTCCGGGGTGGCTAATCAGACTTTCATGAGCAATGCTCATAATATATTACTATGGGGGTGTCCCTGGTTTTGGTGGGGATTTATCACTTTTGGAGGGGAACACCCCCATATTAATAAGCAGGGGTTTATCAATCCGGGGCCAATATTAGATACGAATGGACATCGAAGTGTCACCGGTGGCACCACGCCCGTCAGAGTTCTTATGTTGCTGACGGCTGGTAGGGGCTGCAATGCAAGCGCAAGTTGCCCAGGATTCGCGCAGACCCTGGATGTCGAACACGTCAAGGCCGGCACAGCATGAGCCTGCTCATGCTTTCCACGCAAAGGTTACCAGACAGGACTTGCCTCGCCAGATGGACGGCAAAGTTCATGGCTTTGCTTGCCTACTGCAATATCGGCCCCACATTGGCGTGCATTTGGAGTTCAATTACACATTTGAGAAGGCACGTTTCCACCCTGGTAAACGTGGCAGCTCTGTGATAGTGGCATCCTGTCTCCCACTTTGTCTCACTCCCTGAGTTCATGGGCTTTAGTCACTTTTTGGGAAGACCATTTTGGTGGTACACAAACAGTTCGGACTTCTTTTGGCCAATCGACTGCACAAGTAAGTATTCCCATTGACCCAACAAACATTGTCACCTTGTGCCCCAAGGGGATCCCTTTTTCCACGCTCGCTTGCTCGCTTTCGCTGACAACAGGGGGCCGTTCGGGGCCACCCCTTTTTCTTTTTTTTTCTCTGCAGGATGAGGAGCGCAGCAAGTACTGGTCACTGGGCTGCATGTCCCATGGTACCCTTCCTGATCCTCCATTTGCTTAAGAACATGTCGTTTTCCCCTCTGGGTTTTGAAGGGAATCATCACTACTGGACGTTTTTTTCTTGCCAGGGGGCGTATCCGCAAATGGAAGAGGCTGAGCAACTGCGGAGAGAAATTAGGAGCTGGAAGACAAATTGCCCTTTACAAGAAGTTTTTGTCAGGTTTTCCGTTTTGAGAGGGAGGGTATGGGCATTGGTTCAGAATCATCTTTGGTCCTTGCCTTGGTTTGTGAAAATGGCTCCCTTTGCGGTTTCCCTCACGGGATCCAGCCCTCAATTTGGGACAGCCCGGCCATGTTGAGCCAATGGTTGCACTTTGCTGCAGCTTTGGTTCAACCCCTGAGGTAAAGGATGGTTGAGTTCTATCCGTTTTCTATGATTCCCGTTCTTTGTTGTATGGATGTTTTCTGTGGTCCCTCTTTGTTTGGCTACGTCGTGCTCGTTCGCGCGCGACGTCGTCGTCGTCGTCGTCGCCTTCTTCTTCTTCTTCTGCTGCTGCTGCTGCTGCTGCTGCGACTTTCAATGAGTTCCGTCTCTGTGGCTGCATTTCTTGAGATGTTTCGCAACGCCTCTGGCGCCTGCCGGGCCCAGGAATCTTGCCAAGTCGCGGGAGAACAGCAGCAGCACTGAGACGACCACTTCCCGATGGGTTATGAAGGAGGCGGGAGCGGGAAAAGCGCGGGGGCTAATAGACTCAGTTGCCCAAAGCGAATCGACCTTTTAACCTTTTGGTTTTCCAGTTTTGGTGCCCATTTTTCGTCATGGCTCCAAAAGATTAACCTTTTATTTCTGGGTCCTTTGGGCAAGTGAGTAGAGGCAAGGATATTCCAGCAGCTTTCACAGAGTCTGCTTGAGGAGACGTGTCAAGGGGGAATATGCAAGGAGCCCCCCACCCTCCCCAAACCAATGACACACACGCAAACACACACATGCACACACACCCACGTAAAAACGAAGACGAAGACACATGTCAAGCTAGCACCGCTTTTTGGTTGTTCAAAAGGATCATCCCATGACAATGAAGACCAAGCAACTTCGGGGTTTTCGCGTTTAGGATATTTGAGCGGGGTTTACGTGTCAGTCGAATGTAATCGTGACAGCGCTGTGGGCGCTGGCCAAGGCGAAAACTAAACTTGAAGAAGGAACTACAATGTCGGTTCTATGGATTGTCATTTGTTGGTTTCACAGGCGTAAAGGGTTTAAGAGTTTCAATGGTTTCAGGCCGTTTCAGGGTTGTCCAGTAAAGTGGGCTTCAGGGTGTTGAGTTCGGGTCATTTTCGTGTTCAGTGCCAGTTCAAGCGTCAGCCGGCTTCAGTTGTTACGGGGGTTAAAGCTTCTCGAATTGAGCACCGCCAGTTTGGGCTTCGGGTGCTAGAATTCGTTGTTTTTTTGGGCTCAGGGCAGCCCTCTTCGCTGGTTATAAATGGAAACCACCGGGGTCTGTATGTCTGTCTGGGGACACCTAGGATCTATTTTGCAACCTCCTTCTTTTAGGGTCTTGGTTTTTCCGGGTTGGTTGCAAAATAGATTCTAGGTGTCCATTTTTCTTTTGGGGGGGTCCTGCGATTCCTAAGAAAAGACTCCATATGTGCTTGTCTTTTTTAAAGACTGCCTTTTTTAGGTGGTAAACAAAAAAAGGAACCACCACGCATTTTGGGGGGCAGAACCTTCTATTTTCACACATTTCATTTTTGTGTTTCCTCCCCTTTTTGGGCGTTTTTGTTTTTTTAAACGTAAACCAACCGTTTGGGGCGGAACCTCTCTCGTGTTTTGACCCAAGCCCCCGGTTTTTCCGGTGAGAAGAGCCGAGCTCAGGAGCTGGTGGACCAGAAGGCCTTCCAGGCGCAGGTGAAGTCGCGGCTCGCTCGGAGGAAAACTTTTGGCGGGGAGCGATGGGGTGAAGCTGTCCCGTTCTTGCCCAGCCCAGCCCAGTGGATTCAAAGGGTTCTTACCTCTTTCAAAACACAAAACTTTTCTCAACTTTTTGGGGGTAACATGGGCTATATCTGTAAAAGATGAACTTCCCCAGGGCTTGGAGTTTTAAGGGGTAAGGGTTTGGTGACAGACAAATCTACAGAATACTTTGGGAAGCATTTTGCCAAGGGCTGTTAGGACTTCTTCACTTTTTGATCCAACTCATGAAACGGTTTTCCGAATTGAACCACTAAAAGTTAAAATCTTTTAGCAGGGCTTCGCAGATTACGCAACCGAGAGGAAATGGCCCCAAAACACACTAAAGCTGCTGTTTATTGGTGCCCTTTCTGAGGCTGTGGTTTGGAGGTGTGGAGGTTACCCTGCAAGGGGTTCAAATTGACAAACCGCCAATCCAAGCCACCAATCAGGGTCCCCCAGCGATTGCTGCCCTTTCTCTTTTCTCCCTTTTTTTGGTTGGGAGGGTCTTCTCTACTAAAATAGGCTACAGAAACAAGCTGGTGCCAACCTATTCTAACCTCTCTACCAGAGGACCTAGCCAGTGGATTCCGCCCCTTTTTTCGGCTGCTGTTAAACCCATAGGTGCCAGGTGCCAGGTGCCAGGTGCCGGCCTAGACGCATTTAGCACAGCCTCTAACCAGCCCAAGGTGCATGTGCCTTTCCTGAGTTCCTGGACTTTGAACTTTTGGGGTAGGTTTTGTTCGTGGTAAACAAAAGTTTGGACGTTTTATAAAGCCACTCACAAAGTGAGGGGCCCTTGATCAACAAGAACGCCCTTAAATTTTCCAGACTGCGCATATCTATATCCTGGGATGACTTTCAAAGAGTTCACGCGCGAAATCGCAATGTCGTTTCCCGAAAGGTTTGAATTGTCCCATCCCCCCCAGAAATAGGGGGTGTCTTTGTTTGATGGTACCCTTCTTGGGGTTGCTTGAAACAAACACCAAAGGGAAAGCCATGAATTTTGGGGTGGCCCTCCTATTTTGAGACAACATAGATAGCTTGGGCAAATAGTTGAGCCGGGTCAGAAATTGATGCGTGCCCAGAGTTGGGTCACCTTTAGAAGGCGCTCAGACGAATGAGTGGGGATCTTTGGAGTCGGTGCCATGTGAGACCACCACTCATGTTGAGATTCAGGGTGTTTTATTCATGTTTAAGACTTTCATGGGGGGGCAAAGGGAATTTCCCCGCAATTGGGGCGTCTCTTATGTTTTCAGACCTGACACAACCGGGGGGCTTGACCTTTTCCTCATCTTCCATTTGCTTAAGAACAAAGGTTTTTCTTTTTCCCTGTTGGTTTTAATGTTGGAATTTATTTCACTACTGGATGTTTTTCCCCAGGGGTCGAATAACCAAATGGTGTCGCTGATGTTTGTCAGTTCTCGGACCTGACAAAAACGTCTTTCCTTTTGATTTTTTTTTGGGGGGGGGTGGACCTGAGCCTCATCTTCCATTTGCTTAAGAATAACTGGACATATTTGTTTTCTCATGTTTTCCGGGGCTCGAAAAAGCGAATGGAAGACTTAGTGGCTAAGCCTGGTTACCCACAAAAGCCATGGTTATAAGTGGGCCGCTGGATGAGGTCCTTGAAGAGCGACCTCACGGTCTTTGGGACCTTGGGCTTCGTGGGCATGGCATTTGCCAAGCTCCTGATGCCCAGCAGGCGAAATCGGAATCGGCGTGGGAAGCGGCGGAGTTCGGCGACTCGGTGCGGGAAAGAACACGGAAGCCTTCCGTCAAAGGCAAAGGAAAAGGGATTCCCCCCCAACCAAAAAAAACAAAAGAAAGAAAACACAACACAACAAGAACAGAAAAATCGCGGCGTCCGGAATTCCCCCCAACAAAAAAATGAAAGGAAATAACAACAAATCAACAAGAGCAGAAGAATCGCGGCGTCCGGAATTTGTTTGAGAGAAATCTCGATCCGGGCCAGACGGTCCATTTGGGAGGGACATGAGGGGGGCTCGCCAAGTTTAATCCACATTCCCGGGACAGGCGACGCTCACTTCGCATTTGTAAACGGGGCGGATCGATCCAGCTGATCGAGATCACAAGGTTTGACACCCGGACAGTTGGGTGTGCCTCTGTTCAAAACATCCCCCAAAATGGTGGTTTCCTCTTGGCCTACATGGAAAAACACGAAGAAGGGGGTACCTTAAAATGAAGGACACACATAGTGGTCCAAAAACAAAGTTCAATCTGGGCTGCAACTTCAAGGGCTGCCAAGTTCTCCAGCAACCGAGAGACGAAGTGTGTTTGTTGGGCTATATTGACCTCGTTTTTTGCACCTGCTCTCTGGAAAACTTGGGATGCACAACTGGCCCCTTGAAGGTGATCACATGTTGAGGGCTTCTGAAAGTGAGTTTCTTGTCGGGAGATTCTCCTGAAATAGCCATCCGACTGGGCTCAAGGTCAATCCTTGATTCTTACCTGTACGTCAGAAGTCTAGTTTATTAGGGGTTCAGATGGGTTAAGGAGTCGGATGGGGCAACCCTTCATTTTGAGCAGCCCGGGTAGCTCGGACACAGTTTGAGAATGCTTTAACGGCCCAGATGTGATGCACAGGCCGAATATGAAGAAGGAGATCTAGACTACCACAGAGGACGCGCCAGGGTCTGGGTCGGGTATTTTTGCTCAACCACCCCTTGGTCCCCTTGCACAGGGTTTCTGAGCCATTTCCCTTCATGGAACCTCCAAAAGTGGCAGTTTCAATGGACACCAACTGAAAATTGATCAACTTTTTGTTCGGGGAAATCCAGTGACCCCTGTAGCAGGGAAAGGCAAGAGAAGGGGTTGCGGGGGGGTTCAACCACCAGCGTCCTTGTCACATGTTCAAAAATGAACCCCGGACTCTGACTCAGCATCTGTTTGCAGTGCGAAAACAGAGAAAGGCATCGGGGATCCAGGACCACGTTGGTTTGAACTGTGGCTTAAGCATGTTTGACCAAGGGGTTGGCTCAACCCTGCGTCTCCCATGGCTGGAGTCTTCTCCAGCATTACTATGGACCCGGATTCTGAACACTTGCTTGTGGGTACCACCGATTGGTCTAAAATTGCTAGTTACTAAGTGGGACCAAACAAAAATATGGCTGAGTAATTAAGGCTGTTGATTGTTTAGTGGGGGCCTCTCTTCAGAGTGGTTGGTGGATATAAAAGCTGTGTGTAGATCATGTCCACCACAGGGTTTCCAATTCAAGTTCATACAAGTATCCCTGTGAGACAGGCACCCCCACATGCAATCTAACAAGATGGCATGTATCAGGTTGTCAGGCATGCCAAGGGCACCTAGCCGATCCCTTGGATGCTTGTCTTGGTGCTGCTCGGTAGGGAATGGTCTTGGGAATGAACCGGTTTGGGACTCACCGGGGACTGTTTCTGGGTGTCATTCTTTCATCTTCCCATTTCAAACCAGCAAGTTGTTCTCAATGAAAAGCATCCACATAGGGCATGGTTTATTGCGGTCATTCCTTCATTCTCTGCCTATAGAACCAGCCAGCTGTTTTTAATGAAAGGCATTGGCACTTCCCTCGTTTCCGGAACGGAAGGACGTGCAAAGTCTGTGAGATGGCCAACGCTCAGCGCTCTGCGAGCGCAAAAAAAGATCTGCGCGGTCTGCGGGTGTCATCGCAGTGGCGAGCTGCATTTCTCGCGCTCGTGGAATTTCGAGCCTGGTGGATGCCACTGTTTCGAAGGGCCAACTTGCATACCCCAAATGGACCCCCACAACTTCCTGGTTATACATGGGTTATACAGGGTACATACCCCAAAATGGGGGGTTGTCGCTTTGTCCTTGGGATCCTGTTGCATTGAGGGGGCGTGTGGGGGGGGTGGGGGGGGTGAATCCTAGCCAAGCATGACACGCGGGCTCGCATCAGATGTTCCACTTGGGGTTCATCACATGGTTGTTGTTGGGAAACATTTGCATTTTTGCTTGTTGTGGTTTTGTGGTTGAAATCCCCACTTAAGTGTTAAAATTTAAATGTTTGCTCCCCTTCCAACATCAACCAAGATTAAGTGACCCATGATTTCAGTTGATTGGGTGCATGGAAGGGCTGGCCATGCGTTCGGATTGAAAGCCACAGAGGCCGCTCGCTTGAGGCCGTGAGCGGGCCAGTGGTAGACCCCAACGTGCGGGACTCAGCTTGAGGAACGTCCCTCACTTGGCCAAAGGGGGTTTCTTGGTGGCTCCCAGCCATCCGGTTCCTTAACCTAGCTTTTTAGTGTTTACTCACTTCCTGAGTTCATGAACTTTAAACTTTTTGGGAAGACCATTTTAGTGGTAAATAAAAAGTTTGATTTTTTTTGGGCCATTCACTCAGCCAGTGAGTTTCCATTCAATCCACTAAAAGTTAAGCTTTTAGCTGGGGATCTGAGGGCAGCCCAGGTTTTGCAGCTGCATTGTAGCGACCTGGCCATGTCTCGAGACGGATTCCTCGCAAACTTGATGTCAGGGCCCTGCCCAGGGAACACGCCTCAGATGGAGCAACCGAAGCTTTCTTCCGGGTGAAGATCTCACTTCGATCTGTCCCTTCTTTGAGGCTTTTCAAGAATTCCCTGGAAGCCCTGCGAAACCTTCCCTGAATTGAACATACCTCCCCTCTTCAAGAACCCTTCGCTCCATTGGCACGTGCGCACCCATCCAAGTGAACCAGATCCGCGAACACGGCCTCGATGTTTGATTCCCGGGTTTTCTTTCATTCGGCTAAGCCTCCTCCCCATGCAACCTGGAGAGCTTTGGTGGGTTCCATCTTGGGGTGAAGGGACTAGAGCTTCCCAGGCGGACAGCCCAGTCCAGTGCTACCTGGACTCCCTTCATCGTTTTTTTGTTTTTGTTTCTTCCTCGGCCTCCTGCAAACATGTGACTTCCGCTTCCCTTTTCGGCTTCCCTTTGTGGCTTCTCGGCCTCCCTTGGCCTCCCCCTCAAGCAGTGGCTGCCGACTTTGGATTTCTAGTTGAAAACTTCTTTCCCCTTCCGCCTGCCGACTTTCAATGTTACCTTGTTGACAAGTTTCCCCCTTGCGATGAAAAATGTGCAAAGAAACTGGTTGACCGGGCCCGTTTCTTGGACCTGTCGTGGTCAACTCGTTTTGACGTCCTTTCATCGTCTAAGCTGAGCTGTCCACTTAACGTTTGCTTTGCTGGGCCCAAACCGCCAACCCCTGGATACGTCCATTTGCTTAGGCATATTACTTTCCCCTGTTGGTTTTTTAGGGAATCAAAGACTTCTCAGAATATGTGTTTTTCCAGGGGACTCCCTATTACTTTCCCCTGTTGGTTTTTTAGGGAATCAAAGACTTCTCAGAATATGTGTTTTTCCAGGGGACTCCCTATTACTTTCCCCTGTTGATTTTTTAGGGAATCAAAGACTTCTCAGAATATGTGTTTTTCCAGGGGACTCCCTATTACTTTCCCCTGTTGGTTTTTTAGGGAATCAAAGACTTCTCAGAATATGTGTTTTTCCAGGGGACTCCCTATTACTTTCCCCTGTTGGTTTTTTAGGGAATCAAAGACTTCTCAGAATATGTGTTTTTCCAGGGGACTCCCTATTACTTTCCCCTGTTGGTTTTTTAGGGAATCAAAGACTTCTCAGAATATGTGTTTTTCCAGGGGACTCCCTATTACTTTCCCCTGTTGGTTTTTTAGGGAATCAAAGACTTCTCAGAATATGTGTTTTTCCAGGGGACTCCCTATTACTTTCCCCTGTTGGTTTTTTAGGGAATCAAAGACTTCTCAGAATATGTGTTTTTCCAGGGGACTCCCTATTACTTTCCCCTGTTGGTTTTTTAGGGAATCAAAGACTTCTCAGAATATGTGTTTTTCCAGGGGACTCCCTATTACTTTCCCCTGTTGGTTTTTTAGGGAATCAAAGACTTCTCAGAATAAGTTTTTCCAGGGGACTCCCTATTACTTTCCCCTGTTGGTTTTTTAGGGAATCAAAGATCTCAGAATATGTGTTTTTCCAGGGGTTTTTCCAGGGGACTCCCTATTACTTTCACCTGTTGGTTTTTTAGGGAATCAAAGACTTCTCAGAATATGTGTTTTTCCAGGGGACTCCCTATTACTTTCACCTGTTGGTTTTTTAGGGAATCAAAGACTTCTCAGAATATGTGTTTTTCCAGGGGACTCCCTATTACTTTCACCTGTTGGTTTTTTAGGGAATCAAAGACTTCTCAGAATATGTGTTTTTCCAGGGGACTCCCTATTACTTTCACCTGTTGGTTTTTTAGGGAATCAAAGACTTCTCAGAATATGTGTTTTTCCAGGGGACTCCCTATTACTTTCACCTGTTGGTTTTTTAGGGAATCAAAGACTTCTCAGAATATGTGTTTTTCCAGGGGACTCCCTAATACTTTCACCTGTTGGTTTTAAAGGGAATCAAAGACTTCTCAGAATGTGTGTTTTTCCAGGGGACTCCCTATTACTTTCACCTGTTGGTTTTTTAGGGAATCAAAGACTTCTCAGAATATGTGTTTTTCCAGGGGACTCCCTATTACTTTCACCTGTTGGTTTTTTCAAAGACACTCTGTTGGTTTTTTAGGGAATCAAAGACTTCTCAGAATATGTGTTTTTCCAGGGGACTCCCTATTACTTTCACCTGTTGGTTTTAAAGGGAATCAAAGACTTCTCAGAATGTGTGTTTTTCCAGGGGACTCCCTATTACTTTCACCTGTTGGTTTTTTAGGGAATCAAAGACTTCTCAGAATATGTGTTTTTCCAGGGGACTCCCTATTACTTTCACCTGTTGGTTTTAAAGGGAATCAAAGACTTCTCAGAATGTGTGTTTTTCCAGGGGACTCCCTATTACTTTCACCTGTTGGTTTTAAAGGGAATCAAAGACTTCTCAGAATGTGTGTTTTTCCAGGGGACTCCCTATTACTTTCACCTGTTGGTTTTAAAGGGAATCAAAGACTTCTCAGAATGTGTGTTTTTCCAGGGGACTCCCTATTACTTTCACCTGTTGGTTTTAAAGGGAATCAAAGACTTCTCAGAATGTGTGTTTTTCCAGGGGACTCCCTATTACTTTCACCTGTTGGTTTTAAAGGGAATCAAAGACTTCTCAGAATATGTGTGTGTTTTCCGCGGGACTTAAGCAAATGGAGGCATGTTGGCACCTGTCTGTATGGCGAAAGGCTCCACCTGCCCGGCGTTCCGAAGAGCGGCTCTTGTTTCACGCAGTCACGCGGTTGGCCTTCGAAGCAGCTTGGAGCCTTTGGAAGTCGTCAAACCGGTGGAAGGCTTTGGACTGCTAGGGGCCATCTCTTCTTACCTCTTAAAAGCACGAAACTTTTCTCAACTGTTTGGGGGTGACATGGGCTATATGTCTGTAAAAGATGAGAACTTCCCCAATCCTTGGAGTTTTAAGGGGCCATCTCTTGCAATGACTTCCCGTGGGACGTTCTCCATCCCGTCGGTTCAAATGAAGACGGTCCACCGGCGCTTTTCCCGATTCGCCGCCTTCCGCTTCGCCGAGGTCTTGGCCGGCCTGGGCCGGTCCAACGAGGACGCCTGCGTCTACCAAGTTGGGCCCCGAGATTTGGGTGCCGTGGGGTGTGGAAGAGCGGGCTAGCAGCCAGGTCCCCCAGCAATTGGCGCCCTTTCTAAGGCCCCCCTTTTTTTGGTGGGGAGGGTTCCCTTATTAAAAAGAGACTGCAGAAAAAAAGGGTACCAACTTATTCTAACTGCTCTACTGGAGGACCTGGTAACTTTGTGGCTACTTGGTAACGGACTTGGGGTCTCAACTTGTTGGTTGAAACAGGTCGGATTTTTCGAATTGGACCCACAAAAAGTTTTACTTTTGTGCAGTGGGGGGACGACAGTGATCCGGATTTCCACTCAAAGGTCCCCGCAATGCTCAGGAGTGTTGATGTATCTTTCAAAAAGTACCAGGGTCGACTTAGATTCATCTGAATCAAGGATTCATGTCTGATCTAGGGGTCCATTTGCCCACTAGGTCCCCCAGTGCCCTTTCTCACCCCTTTTTTTGGCGGAGCGTTCCCCTACTAAATAAAGACAACTGCAAAGGTTGTCACCCTTATTCTAACCTCTCTACTGGAGGGCCTGGCCCAGTTAGAAGGTTTGTACCCCCATTCGTCGCCCAACACAGGCGGCCCAGAAGCCCTAAGAAGGTGTGGCCCCTCGGTTGACAAAGTTGGAGCGCAACGTTGGCACGTCCCGCATGCTCTGATTGTTCCGTGACCCTGATATGGCTGTGGGTCGAAAATAGGTACCTAAAATGGAACGCTGGTAAATGGAACCAAAGACTAGAACTGCGGTCCCCTGGTGGCTTAATTTTGACCCACACCCATATTCCTCAGGGTGATTCTGGGCAGCCTCACGCAGATACTGCTTGCGCAAGTTACCTCAGAGAGCGGACCATGGAAGTTAGAATCTCACTACGCATCTAACATACTGTGGACGGGCGAAATCAATCCACTTTGCATCAGTCGATGCTTGGTTCATCAGTTGAGGGAACCCGAAGTGCTGACGGAAGGAAACTGCACAATATTCAAACAGCAAAACACCCACTGCATTTGTTCTGTGCACCAAAAGGGATCTGGATGGTTGCCGAGACCAAGGTCTCAAGAAAAGCACGGAGCGAATGGTTGCTGTTGAGCCCTCTGCAAAACGATT